CAACAACTGCAACGAGTACATTACTATGACGAAGATGATGACGACGATTCAGTCACCGACACGCTTAAGTTCCCAAAAATCTACGTAGCGACTAGATCGCCCACAGCTTCAAGGAGACCGACCCCATCAAATTACCCGGTAACAAGAACTCCTGAGTCTACGACGGCTGATGAGAGAACAGCGGTCGCTCTTCTTGCCCGGCCGGAGCCCGTAGAGATTCTTCCAGCCAACGTATCAGTGGAGTATTTTTACCCCGTCGACGCAAGCACTCCTGCGGCATCGCGCCCCGAGACACCACAGTCGATGCCGCCTCTCGAATCTTCACGAAGTGACGTGAGTGATTCCGTGGTTGTGTCTGTGTCTTCAGTGGTACCAGTTGCACCACTCCGCTCTGCCATGGATTCAGGGCCTGGTGAACCACGCGAACAATCTCAAGCTGGTCATCAAGCATCGCCTGCTTTTCCAAGGCGTTCTACGCGGCAACGGCGACTTCCAGGAAGACTGAAAGACTACGTACTTTCGTTTCTTAGTGTAAATAACAGTAATACGTCTATGGACATGATTGACGAAATTCTAGAAGAACCACAGATGTAATATATTTTTCTTCTCGCTTTGTTTAAGTGCATAACGCTAGTTTTAAAACATTGCAGTGCATAACGGAAGTCCTACAGTAACTTGTAGTAACGTGCATAAAGCGAGTCAGTGATTATTTAACGAGAAAGGGTACTAACGTGCCTCCTAAAGGCGTTCAGAGCAAAGCGATTACTAGTTTTTGCACTCTAAAAAAAAAGAGTGTCATGGGGTACACCCATAGGGGGTGTAAGTGCTTGTCACATATACTACACCCTTTGGGGGAATACAAGTGCACCCCAAATATGGGAGTACGTGTACACCTGTTGGTGTGGTGCACATGTACACCTTTTTCTACAGAAATCTCACTCGAAGGGAACACAGGTGCACCCCGTTCGATGGTGTACGGCTACACCTCTTTCTACACCCGCTTCACTCAAAGGGAACACAGATGCACCCCATTCGATGGTGTACCATTGCACCTCTTCATACACCCGCTTCACTCAAAGGGAACACAGACGCACCCCGCTCAATAGTGTACCATTAGTCCCCTTTCTACACCTACTGCTCTCAAAGGGAACACAGGAGCACCCCGTTTAATAGTGTACTGTTACACCTCTTTCTACACTCGCTGAATTCGAAGAGAACACAGATGCACCCGGTTCAAAGGTCCAGGGTTACACCACTTTATGCACCCGTTACAAAACTTCTTAAACCTATTTAAGACATCAAGGAAAACAGTAAAAAATGTATGCGCCCGGTGATTGCAAAAAGCAGGTAAACGGACACACGGTATTGTTTTCAAATCTCATAGAAGTTTATTAGACAGCCTATTCCGTAAACAAGTACAAACTTGCAAGCAATCCGTGATATCTGAAGACGTACAAAGAAGCTTTTACACTACTGAAAGATTACTAAGCAAACAAGAACCGGGGGTGAGTCTTAGGTAGTGACCATTACGCCAGCAGCCCGTAGAGTTATTTCCACAAATATCCACCGGCAGTCGCCGTTAATTCATCGAACGACGTTTCATCGACAGCTCAGATTAGCTTTTCTATTTTAGCTTTTCTCCTTGCTTTTCTTGTAATGAGCCGCCCCAGAATGTATCCGCGAAGTGAAGTGTATTGGGACAGGTGGGCTAACATTTTTGTCATTATCCGCCGCAGACTGTCGCCACGAAGCGGCGCGAACGGGTCGGCTGGGTCGGTGAGCACGCGCCTCATAGACACACGCGCGACAAAATGTCCCTACAGCGTGCATTTTGCGTAACGAGTGACGATGAAACGTTAGTGTCGATGAAACGTGTCTACAAAACGTGCATCGACAAAAACGTGTTTTCACAAAACGCCAGGAGAATAAGAAAGTCACTATTCCACCTGCAGTTGTCACATGATTGTATACAGCTAATGGCAGGCGACTGCCGATAGAAATTCGGGGAAATTATTCTCCCGGCTGCTAGAAAATAGACACTGCCTAATTCTAGAGGTAATCCGGAACGGAACGGTCAGTTGTTGCAAAGGAGTAGGTTGCAGTGCACTTACTATGAAAATACCGGACTTGAAATATGTAATCCGATATATATGTCGACACGGGCACTGCAGAACCACACAAGCACAAAAACGAAAAGAAAGGGGTCCGTGAAGATTCAACACGATGTGGCCGAAGCAGTAATTTGCCGAACCGAACACTAAACACATCACATAACTTCCTTGGGCTTTTTTGAAGAAATCCCCTGTTGCCGATACACGCGTAGGACTTTTCAAACACTGAAATCTTGGTACACTCGAATACGTTGTCGCGGGCGAAATCTACGGCAGCCCCGCTGGTCGCAGCACAGCACACAAGCAACTAGGCCGGGAAGCAGACATTCCGAGGTCGAAAAAAGCTTCTACGTCATCCGCGAAACCTTTACCACGTGATCACGCTCCTGTCGTATCCGCGCTCAGACAGAGGAGTCGAGGGATAAAAAAGCCTTCGGTTCATTCGTCCGGCAACTGCGCGCCTTCTTCTATGCTTTCAGCTTACGGAGAGAAAGAAAAAGAAATGAGTATGAAAATTGCAGCTCCTTCAAGGCCAAAAGGGGCCACCCTCGCAAAGGCTTATCTTCAGGGGCAACCCAACAATGAAAGAATTTGTCGTTTATATCCTCTTGAAAGTTCGACTCAAAGTTAATAGTGCAGTGGATGCTAACCGTGGCCTTGGCCTTCAGGCTGGTGCCGTGCTCTGCCTTATCTCTAGCTTGGAGACTGTAGTCACGTGATCCTACCCGGAGACCCGATTGGCCTAAAACAAGCATAGCGTCCACTCTACTGTCAATACCGAGGGAACACGATAGCTCCATACTTCCAAAGTAACTGCCCATCCCAAAGAGTGACCTCCATGGGGGAATCCAAGCACAAGCTGATCGGGGCGCGTGGCTAGCGTGGCGGTGCATTGGTACACCTAGATGTTTTTAAGGGAGAGGGTGATGCTCATTGTCGGTGTACAAGCACACTGGCTGGGCAACGGAGGGTGCGTCCTTCAGGAAAAGGGTGCATGAGCGCCTGATGCACCCGACTACACCCTTTTTTTCTTAGAGTGTGCTTAGTCTAGTTATTGGTTACAAAATATACGATGTCTAACAACTGTTAGTATCGCAGCAATTTTAACTGTCCAAAATTACATCTTAAGCTTTTTTCTAGGAATAGTTTGACTAGTCTATTTTCAGTAATGGTTGGCTCATTAAGTTAAAGAAAGGGAAAAGTATGATAATTTAATGCTCTGGTTATTAACAGACATGTTTATCGCTATTTCATATAAGAGAGGGGGAATGTAGTGATGTGTAAAAGAGAAAGTTACGTCAGATCATATCACGCGAGTGCACTGATTGGGTAGCGGTTCCCATTGTTATAAAATCAATAAAAGGCGATCGATCGGGCCGATCGCTCGAGGACACGCTCAGACCACAACCAGAACGAACGTGTCTGTTGGCTTGCTCCTGCGGGATCTGATGTCGTCGGAGAAATCGCCGCTCCGAAATGACCGGCCGTTTCCCGGAACCCACACCGCAGCCCGGTGAGTCGGACCTCACGCATCCAGCGATGTCCCGGCGAACCTGCCTTTAGGTGAACGGCACCTCATCACCCCGCAGACCAGTTGGCCAGCGCGCGGTCTTATAATACTACAGTGGGTTATCAGCCGGCATTGCCCGCTCAAGAGAGGAGTTAGATAAACGCAAGTAAAGAACATTGCCACATACATTCGCTATTTTATTATACTGGGAAAAATGGAAAACGTTTGGAAATGATAATAGACACGACGCTTTTCTCAAACTCACGCTTGTTGTAGAGGAAGCAATACCAGTTGTCCAGTCAATTCCAGGTAAATTAAAACCACCATACACCAGAACCCGAAACATAGAAAAGTATATGGTTATTTGGAAGTCTTCGAAGTGTGCTATGAACTTTGAATTATCAAAGAAGGGAGAAAAATAGCAAGTTCCAATGAAGTAATTAAAACCATCTCTCTTAGGTATCTCAACCCAGGTGCATTCCGAATAGGATTTTAAGTTCTTCCTTCGATGTGACTTAACTACGTACGGATTTGACCGCAACAAGAACCCCAACCCCTAGTTTCATTCCCGCGGTATCAAAATCATTGCATTGTCGATACACAACATAATTGGACTTGAAATAGTTGAAACTAGAAATGCCAGCACGAAGCCAAGTCTCGGCCAAACAGACTATATCAGAAAAACTCAGCAGTGTATTCGACATAAACTCATCCGACTTAGTCCGTAAGCCCCGGGTAGTTTGATAGCAACCCTCAAGTGTCCGTAACATTTTCAGTTGCTACACATTCGGGCCTATATACTCGCGAGCAGTCCAGCTTTCATAAAAACTAATGAAATATTGAGCCCTCAGGCCAGACACCCGGCTGGTTCAAACTATCGACCAGCGACTGGTCCCCCGATAAGTGGAACGAGGAGTAAGAGTTAAATTTTGGCTGAAGCTTGGTAACGGTAACAAGTTCGTTGTCTAAAAACGGGGTTGTATATATGTATTGCTTTTTATTAAGCCACATTACAGACCTATAGTGGTTCTTTATGTGCACACAATAAAGACATTATGATTATGATTAAAGCGGCGACCTCGAGGCTCCAATGCTTGTAGTGTTGGCTGCAGTCTCAGCTTAAAGGTGGAACGAATATAGTGAGGGTGATTATGGGATGATATCAATTGCAATGGGAGGACTAAACGTTTAATCCTAATCCCCTATTAACCCTCGAAATAACAACGATCCATTCAACAGATTTTCTTAAACATTTATTTATCTTTAGAAAAAAAAGAACGAAACTGAAAAAGAAAGAAAACTTCTCTGGAAATAAATTTGATATCTGATTCGAACGAATAAAAGAATGCGAAACAAAACAGGGTGTGGAACGTGCCCAGGTTCGGCCGTAAGCGCAGCCTGCTGATGGGCATCCTGTTGACTGCTGCGGCGAGTGCGTGCGCAGCTTTCTCCAACTCTGTTCCCATGTACTACGCATCCAGATTCGTGGTGGCCTTCGGGACGACGGGATTCTCCGACATCGTCTACACGCTCGGTAGGAAAGCCTCACCTCGAACACATTCTCCCGAAAACCGCGGTCGCACTGCTTGTACATCAAACAAAAGACACCGTATTCCCCGCCGACATAATGGGGAGTTTTAGGGAACCGTTTTTACATATCCAATACGGTACGATGGGCCCTCCTGTGTGCACTGCGCATGCGCTACCACAGAGGACTCGTATATGAGCAGTTCGTACCGGAGGGCCCTTCATACCGTACCGGGTGTGCAAAAACGGTTCCCTATAACTCCCTAATGAGAGACATTTTCGCAAACGTGCATCGTCGAAGCACGTTTGCTTCATATATTTGCATGCTTCGGACGCGTCTGCAGGCAGTGTTTTTATGACGAATATATCAACACCATAATACTATGAAGAAACGCACTTCTGGTGTCTGCAGAGACCGTCTTTCGAATGCCGGATTTGCCGCGTGACCGCGGCTTTGGTCCCACAAAAATTTGTACCGCAAGTTGCCCGCCATTGTGTTGCTACGTGAAATGTTCTTGGTGTAGCGCTAATTTCCTCTAGACATTTCTTCTCGAGCTGTCCCTCCGCTCCTCTCTACCCCGTTGACTTCTCCTAATCCTCTCCATTCCATTGACGTTCCCCTTCGGACCGGCCTGTGTCAACAGAAATTGGGGAAGGACGGGCTGCGACCAGTCACGTGTGAATTCTCCGGCAAAATTTAGCGGGTAAACTGAATTTATCTGTAGCTCACGCGGCGTAAATTTCTCCGCTAAAATGTAGCGGGGAAACTAAAATGAAGTTTAGATCCCGGGACATCATGCCACGCGGCGTCAATGTTTCTGCTACATTTTGCGGCGAAACCAAAATTGTGCATAGGTAACGCGATGCGAAGCCATATGACGTCACCTTTTCCCCTCTAAATTCAGGGGAAACCGAATTGTTGTTGAGGTCACGTGACATCCATTTTCCCGCTAAATCTAGCGGGGAAACTGAAGTCTTGTTACACGACGGGCCACGGCTTCGCGAATTGAAGTTTCACGAAATCCGGACAAACTAGCCAAAAAAAGATTCACGAACAAAAAAAAAAAAGAAATGTCTACCGACATATTGGAAGCATAAAAGCGTAGGAATCAAACTTGACTCAAACATGCATGAGGTGTGTCCGGGGATAGTTTTGTCATCATCTCTGCAGCAAACACCGTGTCATTTCTATGATGCATGAGCAATGTGAATTATGCGATTTGCTCTCCGCATGGTCTTCGAACGAATTCTCCTGGACATCTCTCATCGGGGGCAGTGATGGAGACGGTGTCCCCCCGGTTCCGCTTCATGCCCACCATGACCTTGGGCATGGGCTGGACCACAGGCATGGTGTTGCTACCTTGGCTCGCCTACCTCGCCCGGGACTGGAGGCTTACCCAGTTGTACGCCACCGCACCGCTGGCGCTGATGCTCCTCGTCTGGTGGTGAGGCACCCTTGTGGCTTACTGACAGGTTAACATTGAAGTGGAAGTTCCTCCCACCTATCTCCCCTTTGGCAGAGCGAACGCTGGAGAGAAAACGACTTTTTCTCCAGCGTTCGCTCTGCCATAGCCTCTTATATACTGACAAAACCTGGCAGATTGCCACGAGAAGCGGCCACCGAAATGGAAAAGGTGGAGCGGCAGACAACGGATGAGAGGAAAGCCATGTGACTGGCCCCCCGATGTGGCGAGACGCCGAAACACTCTTTTCCCGAGCACACAAATGTGCCTCGGGTCCTCGCCGCAGCAAAAGCTGTGCGCTGACCTCCAAGTTTCCAAAGAAATGACTCTTTGTTGCTATGTGCTATCAGAGCCTCGAACTCCAAATCTGCGACCGGGCACTCTATGGCTCCGTCGTCGAAATGCAAGGCTTTGTTAGTATAGAGAAGGCTATGGCACTGCCAAAGGGAAGAGAGGTAGGAGGAGCTTTCACCTTACTATTAACCTGTCCCCGACTATAGCCTCCTTCCTTGTTTTTCGTCAATGGCTGAAAAACATTGGTATATAAACAATTCGCCCAATACGTCAGCACGGGTGCGCCCCCAGTTTCGGGGTTACGTATTCGGAAAAGCTTGTGCAGTAAGTCAACGGGCCTATTTCGGCACTTTGATTGACAGGTTTTCATAGACGTCACATCGCCTTGTTTACGGGGAAAGGGAGAAGAGGGGAGGGGGGTGAGGCTGAGGCAGATAGTCCTAAGTGATTCACACGGTAGCCTATAGCCGGCTCTTAGATTTGGTTTTCGGGTTAGCCTATCTGAAAACTTACTAAAGGCTAGTGCTTGAATCACTCAGGCGTGTTTACCTAAGCTTCGCCTTCCCCCTTTCCTCCCACTTCTCGCTCTCTTTCTCCGTAAACCAGGCGATGCGACGCCCATGAAAACGCGACAATCAGAGCGCCGGAATTGACCTCTTGGCTCACGCCACAAGCTTTCCTGAATCCGACTCTGGAATAAAAAAAAAAAAAAGGGGAAACGTGCTTGTTAATCGGCTGGTTCTGGCTTGGAAACGCTGTCCCCGGTTTCATTTTCGTATTAAGCATGAGCAATGTTCATATTGAGCGTACTCGTTCATTACGCACTTTGCCTCGGGGAGTTGGAAAAAGCATTCTCAACAGATATCAACTCTTGTCAAACGGATCTGAAGAAACTCTTTTCATTCGACCCAAAAGCGAAAAGGGTTTTAGTGATTTTGGAACAGACTACGTGGACAGGGGTATCAAACTCCACGCTCATAAATATATACCATGCCGGGGTAGGAATTTTTTTTAATATAAACGACATATCATTTTTTTTATTAAAAAAGTGATTAATTTCATTTAACTTAACTTACTGAAGCTATAAAATTGTGATTCTTTACCACTAGATGTAATTTTCAATCTGACAGATTAATTCAAACATTCGTCCGATCACTGATAAAAATGCTTAAAGAATATTTACTGTAAATGTAAAGTACACTTGAAAGAATAAGTTTTTATTACTGTAATCGCCGTCATACAAGAGCAAAAACAATTTGATTTCTTGAACTTAGTTTAAAAGTTTGATTTTTTTTTGCGTTCCGACGCATGCCTTTTTTAGCTTTCGTGTTTTACGTTCTGATTTTGCTGCAGTAGGACGAGCTGACGATCAAAATGCAATGTCGATATCAAATTTAACGCTCCGATTTTCTCAGAAGAGCAGTTGTTTTGGCTCGAGTTCGACCTTATTTAGATCTTTGTTGCATCGTGTTTCTTTTATTATTTATTTATATACAAAACATATGCACATAGGAATAATAAAATTATTTTCGGGTTTATTTTTTCGGGAAAGGTTCGTTTAATTCATCCTAATAAAACTGGTGTTATTTAAATCATTACATATGATAGCGTTGCGGAATTGCCCCTTTGCAGTTGGAAGAATTCCATAATCATTCCGCATTTTCGCAATAAGCGCCCCAAAACAGATACAGAATGTGAGGGAAGCAACGCAATGCACTTTGTGTTGCGTCTCTTAATACATGTCCTTGTCTTGTGGCGCGTATTGTCAAAAGGATTTACTAGCCCATCTGTCGCTATTGACCATTCCGCCCTTCCACGACCGGGAAATGGAATACAAATGGAATGACAGCGGCACTAGGACGAATGGAATGAGCATGGAACAAAGTGTATTTAGCCCGGAATGGAGTGTGAATGGAATGCGCTTTCTTCTTACGCGAGCTGTTTTGGTGTGGTAGAAGAGGCTTTTCAAAAAGCATCGTTGCCCTTTAGGTAACTGACGGCTTGGTTGCCTGACCGGCTCATGTTCCTTCGAGGATGAAAGTGACAGTGACACCCTCGAAATTGTAGAGGGGTAGTAAAAACCAAAACTCGGACAAGGTGTTGCTCCCGGCGCCGCGAGATGGGACAATTTGGCTGTTGTAGCCATGTGCGATTGCGGCACCAGTCGTAGGCCAACAGGCAGGTATAATGCAACACCACCCGCGTTGCTTGGATGCGTGATTCCCTCTCTTGCCATCTATCTCCTAGACGAATAGGACATATACAGTTTTTTGTGAAGAAGATGGGTGGTTAGTCACGCGATCGATATCTGCAGTGCCACAAATTCCGACCACTGCTATCATGTGAGATGACCGCTCGGCTTAGGAGAATCAATGCTTCCGGAATGCGTTTGGCATAATTTTACAGTTGTCTATGCGTTTATAACGACGAAAATAATCCCCGAAGAAGGGGAGCAAGAGGGACAAAGGAGAAACACAAATCTCCAAACATAGCTAGGGAACTGGTGCGCGACCGAAAAAATCCGCCTGGTCCAGGTGTCGAACCCGGGACCTTACGATTTCCACTGGAGCGCTCTGCCAACTGAGCTCACCAGGGGTTAGAAGTCAGTAGTGCAAACGGGTTTTATCAGCCCCTTCTCCAGGGATTACTTCGTCATTCTTGTCCAGCTCGCATGCACCTTTGCGTCTAATTGGATTATTAAGAGTTTATAACGAGCCGTCAAGAGCTATTTTTCACGGTTGGGAATTATAGGAATTGAATGGATCGGTTCAGCCATTCCAGGTGTGGGAATCAGTCCGGTGTTTCTGTCCCTAGGAATTAAAAGCAATAGACGTATTGGAAAGTCTAATTCCAGAATCGGAATAGAACAGAAGTGCTAATTCCGCAAAACTGATTTAAATCACGGTTTAAATCACATTGTTTTTTATTCTCCACCTTTGTATATACAAATACGTTCATAGGTTAAATAAAGACGTGAGGGCAATTGCCAGTTATGGAGGCTAAAATCTAGGCGTTATAAAACAACAATGCTACGCAAAAAAAAAAAAAAGACTAAAATCGCTGCGCAGATTGTCGTTTAAAAGAGATTGGATTTTGAACCGTCTTGTACTCTCTATATGTTTTTTTTTTCTTTATTAAACTGTTTAGGTACCGCCGGCATGATTACTTTTTGTTTTCGAGACTCAAGCCTGAGGAGACAGTGGGAATACAGAATAGCAGCGGTAGTTTCATTAGACGTTTATAGACATGACGATACCATTATCGCGGAAGTTGGTGTGCATAGCGGTACGAAACCGCCAGGTGGGTTCTAACGTGCGAGCCCCAGTTTTGTGCCAGAGTCTCCCAGGTGGCTCCTGGCCACGGGCAAGTTCCTAGAGGCCAGGGACGTCCTGGCCATGTTCTCCAAACACAGCAAGGCTCCAGCGCAGGCCGTCGACGAGATCATCGACGAGGCCAAGCGGAAGAGGGAAACGGTGAGTCTCGCCTCGGGCTCACTCATTGAGACCACATTCGGATGTCTGGGCTTTTATTTTATTTATATTCTTCGTAATTTGTTGATGAACGTATGTACGTGTGATTATTTCTCAAAAGTACTCTTTCAGGTCTTGAAATGAAAATAACTCTGGTGGCCGATGTGCGAAACCATTACCTATGGGAAATGAAACTCGCACGAAATAAATCCGGTATCTCTATAGCATTTCCTAAATGCGTTCTAAATGAGAATGCACTTACTAACTTCCGTTTGAACTCACAATGTGTCGCGTACATGACATACCGCACCGAAAGGGTTGTCTCCGTGGACTGGCGCTTATTGAACTGTCGGTCGGCCGCTGTGAAATAGCAGCTGGCTTCCGGCGCTCTCGTTTTACCAGACGCGTATTTTGCTCCTTCTTCTTCACCTCGCTGACCCCTCTTCAGCTGGCTGCTCCCGCCATTGGCTCTGCTGCGCCGCTTTGGTGGTGCTTAAAAGCCCACTTTCAAAAGCCTTCAAACTGCACTCGCATTCTCGAAGTACGAAATCCCGTTTCCCTCGATTCCTGATAAAGCTCCAGGTAACTGGCTACAATATTTTTAGATGTTTGACGGCCGACATATTTTCCCCCAAAATGTTTCCCATTGGTTGGGTTTTGTTTTCAAGGAAATAGCATAAAAAAGGGTTCATGTGCAAGTTTGTCTTTGTGCGTTTGTTCATTATCTAGCGGGAGTACGTGCAAAATATGCAAGCTCTTTATGTTTAGAGGCATCGAATAGACATAACGAAAACGAAGAGTTGTCACCAACTTCCATTCGGTTTTATTTTGGGGTGCCCGTTCCCGCAATATTCTGGCGGCATCAAATTTTGAACCGAGCTACTTTACTATGCTTCATCATCGGGAGCAATGCAGTCACCTTCTGCTTTCAATTCTCAGATGCGTTGAAATTCCGAAGGCTTTTTTACGCAGCCCCGCTTTTTTGCGTTACGTTACGTTACAAAAGCTTTTGCCTGCTTACGTCCACTCATCGGAACATATGCGCTTCATAATAAGCGTGGCTACCACCAGTTAAAGTGGATATTCTGGCACGTGACATTCGAGACACTAATGTTTAGGTGACTTATCCGCAGCGTAAGGAAACCTAAACAAAATGGTTCCGTGTGAACAACCCTTAAGAGATCCTGAACCGCAATTCGGATTTCGCAAGATAGGGACGCCAAAGCGTTGGACGGGACGCTGCGAAATTCAAAATATCTCACATACATCGATATCTCAAACGGATGGCCGTATGTTTTGGAAAAAGAAGGGCACGATCAAGTGAGGACTATGACGTCACGCGCCTCCTGGAACAGTTGAGGGTGAAAATAAGAGGCCTCGCTTCTCTCCTCCTCTCTTCGGTTCACCAGTTCGAGAGGACGAAGCGAAGAGAAGAGGGTATGAGAATCGTGACGTCACACGTATCGGCACGATACATGTGACAGGGCACGATCAAGCGAGGGTATGACGTCACGCTCCTCCTGGAACTGTTGAGGGTGAAAATAAGAGGCCTCGCTTCTCTCCTCCTCTCTTCGGTTCACCAGTTCGAGAGGACGAAGCGAAGAGGAGAGGGTGTGAGAATCGTGACGTCACATGTATCGGCGGCCTCGTCGGCCGTGTTCAGTCGCTCAATTTTAAAGAAAAATACGGCTATCCGTTAGAGAAATCGGTCTATGAGTGATTTTTTAGGGTCCTGCAGCGTCCCGCCTATCGCTCCAGCCTTGTTTTGTGAGCTCCACATCTCGTTTCAGCATCCTTTTAAATCTGGAAAGATGATGCTCAAATTGCCACTACCGCAAGAGCAGCCGACAGTGCCAAGCGACCATCTCGCGTGTATCACGTGCCCGGTTCACTTAATTTAAGAACTGCAAATAGCCACAGCAGAGCAAAAAACGACGTGGAAATTTAACATTTATAGTTTGCCTAAGACATAAGTCCTTCTGCGACCGCCTTGGTATTGCCCTGTTGTGCACCCCTTCCAAGAGATGTCGGTGCATCTCAGCTGCTCTTCCGCTGCTGTCTTAAGCTGTTGTATGCTCTTCGGATGCCTTTTACACAGATTTTATGCTGCGTTGTCTTCAGCGATTGCCTTCGTTTTCTGAAGTCGCGTGTTGCGTTAGTACTGTTAAAGCGCCAGCATCCTCCTACCACGGCACTTATTGGAAACGAACCATGTGTTGGGGAGAAAAGTGAACAGAGGGTTTCTTACTGAAAAAAAAGATGTACACGGTGGTGGAACGCCGGGTCTCCCGTTCGGAGCAGACGGCAGTGTTTCAGAACTTGTAGTTGTATAATCCAAATGTTATTAGCAATTTTCGTACAATTGCACCGGCTTGTAGTCAGCGGCCTTGAACTTTATATTTCGTCGCCAGTTTGGCCCTCGGTCAATTTCAAAACGTCACCGGAAAATGTGCTGGAGCCCAAATTCGAAATGATGAACGCATGCTTGAAAACAGTCGAACCACGTACAATTCGAGACACGTTTACTCGCAGATGGCTCATTTCCGAGTTTTCAAGACAGGGGAGATTTCCGCCTATCTACGATGCTGTTTCTGTGAATAAACTTTGCAGCTGCGTTTTGAGACTTCGTTGTGTTCGTCATCCCTTTTCCCTTCTCTGGGGTTTTTTCTACGTATGAAAGTTCACCAGCTAGGCCTGCGCCACAACCCTTATTTCTTATTTCAGATGTTTTGCGATAGTGCCAGGACGCGTTCGAAGGCTCTAAATTTTGAATTCTACTTTATTTTTGGGACTGAGTCCTACCGAAAAAGTTGACCTGCATATTATATTTATGAGCTGCAGTTTGCCGTAACTAAATGGGAAAAGTTTAAGGTCTTATAACATTCTTAACGTGTAATATATCAATATGGAAGTTCTGGAAAATGTAATATGAAAGGAGGCTTCATAAATCGATGTCTCGTAATTTTGATTAGTTGACGTTATTTCGCCTATATAGCGCCATAAAATATTACCATTTTAAATTCTATTTTTTAGTTGAAAGAATGCGTTATCTGTACAATTTGTTGCTTACTTTTTAAATTTATTATATCCAACCGAACGCTCACGTAAAATATCGTGGACGATGGGACGTTATAACTCGAGAAATAATTTTTTTCAAAATTAGAGACTGGCCTACTAAAAGCTGAATAATTAACCAACAAGTAGAACGAATGGTTATATCGAGAAATTAAAGTATTGTTGAAAAACAACTCTTTAATTTGACATTAATTTGATAATTGTAGGATACATAGAAAGAAAGTTATAAACCTTCAAAAAAGCCCCGAAACGTCGTGCAGGGTGGGGTTGCACCTTAAGGGGTATTCACACGACGGAGGATTCCCGAGGACTTCTCCACGGCACGCGCATCCCACGAAGAAAACATCAGGCTTTACGATGTGCAAAAGCCTCGCGTTTCCGTCCCGTGATGTGCGTGCATCGGGGTATGAGTGCCGCTTTAAGGATGAAAGGAGTATACAAGCGGGTCTCAAGATTATTCGTGCGTAGAAAAAAAATTATATAAGTAATTGCCAGTGAACATAGTGCCGAGGCACTTTTCACAGATGTTGTTTAGGTGCTGTAGTGATCATACTCAAAATCTGTGAATGTAAATTTAAAACAATGCGAGAACAATTCCTATGCCCAGCAGGACAACGGGAGAAAACCGTCGTGATGACGCTGCTACTCACACCACATGATTCAAAGACACGAAACATTGTTAGAGATTTACGCCCTAATGCATGCTAACGAGATTGAGCGTGTGTGCTACTCATACACTAGTAGCAGCGTTAACCCGGCGTTTTTTGTTTGTTTGTTTTTTTTTGTTTTCCTTCCGAATAGGGGGGAAAATAACAAGATTTTCTTTTCTGCCACCTTTACCATAAAACCAAAACTCACAAACTTTTAGCATTATAAATGCACCACTTAGAGGCACCTTTGTGAAACTTTTCATGGCGCTCTGTTCATTGGCTTCGTTATGCGAATTTAGTTGCGACAACCTGTAGAGTGAAATAGAACTCCTCTTACGTGCAGTATTTTTTTCTCTCTTTCTTTCTTAAAAACCGATGCACAACTTCGGTTTTCTGCAGGGAACATAATTATTTTATCAATCCCGCTCCTAAGCTGCAAGAGGAGCCCAGTTGGGGCAAGGTAAAAAATGGAGCGGTAAGGCAAGGCAAAAAATTAGGAAGGCAGGCAAAAACGGCAATGCGAAGTTTACGCCGGCCTTTAAAGGGCGCATTAAGAGTAGTGTGCTGCATTCAGAGTATTTGTGTTAAATATTATGGCGAAAGCAAACCCCTCATAAGCGATTTGCGACCGCGGAGGGCGCGTACATGCACATTCCTTTAATTAGCACGCCTTGAGCAGCTGGGTTATGGCGCCATCTAGGGGAACGGCGCGAAACTTCATCAACAGCATCAGGCGACAACACTTCCAGTACGCGCGCTCCGGGTAACGTTTCTCGAAAGTATCGAGGAAATCGTGCTACAAACGGTAACACCTCTTGCAGCGTGCACGGTTTCGGGTCTGGGCGGCCACTTTCATATGCGTAATCGTCGTCGTATATATACGGCAACGACCATCAAGTGTGGCTACATTGAAGCGCAGGAGTGTAGTACCGCACTTCTCCCGCTGTGCTGTGAGTACAGGAGGTTCTCGGCGCTTAAACGGGGATCGGGGCGAGACCCAGCGACTGCACTCAAGGCTCCCGTTTGTCGTGCTGGCATGCGAACATGCGCGGGGCGCTGCATGGCTGAATGGTATTGGCAAAACTGCTCGTATCGGGCGGTAGCCTGTGCCAAGGCAGTGAAACAGTTCGGGAAGTTGCCATCGGTATCCTGTTCAGTGTCGGCGCTTGGGCCGCTGGGAAGAGTGGCCGCGCATTCCTCTGGTGCGCCGTTCCTCTAGCTCGAACTTCAAGGCGCTCTTGGGTATTGCAATTCAGAATATTGGGGCACTCGAAAGCGATTGCCGAACATACCGTGAGTGAAGCCCCCGCTCCTAATGTATAGTTGCACATTGCACGCCGAGCGTAAAATCGGCGACTGCCAGCTCCGCGCTGCTCGACTTATCGAGGCAACAACCTCGGATATGAAAGCCCTAAGGTTGACCAAATTAGTGCTATAGATTAAAAAAAAACATGGTTTTAACATTTTGGTTATTGGAATAAAAGTGACAGTACCTGATATTGTTTCTTTTTTTTAATCAGCAGCACTTTAAATGAACTACTTCCAAAACTCCCTGAATGCGACACCGCTCGTGTTGCATTATGGCGCCTTCTTGGCAACAAAGAGAAGTAGCATGTGCTCGATGTCGATCGCCCGCGTTGACGAAGTAGTACATCTCAGCTCTGGATTAAAATAAGGGTGCGCTCGCTCGTATTGCCTCCATCTTCATAAGAGCCCGCGTTGGGACACAAGCCTCCAGCGGCCGTAAAGACCTGCCTAGACGTAGCGAGGAGTAGCAGTAACGCCTTCTGCGTCCTATACCTTTCTGCCGACGTCACTAAGACTCCAGAGTGCAGCATGAAACTCTTGGGTCACGGATCATTTGAGACTAGGATATTGAACAGATGCAACACAATGATCGCCCCAGTAGAATTCTTCTTCTTACTTTCTCTGTTTACCTGCGCACAAACTGTGGCACATCGAGAGCACGAGAAACGTGCCCCAGCTATTTATTCGTATTGGTGGCAACGCCGAGTTTAAGGAAGGTCACATACTGAAAAATGCGTGCAATGTGTTTGGTCGTGACGGGATGTCGTGAATTAAAATTGGCATATTGAAACCGAATCGGTTTTAAAAGTCTCCAACATGGTTTACAAAAAAAATAAAACAGCGCCAAAAAAAAAAAAAGAATTTGCGGTGGCTTAGCTCGGCTATGCCAGGATATACGTAGCGTGAGCTTGTGCGCACAAAATGAAAGGCGCCATTAAGCGGCTCCGGTGCAGCGTCACACTTGGCTACTGCGCAACGGAGGCGCACAGCTGGGCACGCGGCGGCGCAAGTGCTTCTGCCGCGGCTATGACGTCACTCCTCTGGAATGTGCCAACCCGCGAGGCGCGCGCGGTAGCAGCGGAGCGCGCGGCGGCGGCGGCTCCGGCGCACCAGCTGTGTACCGTGTGACGTCACTGCTCCACGCGCATGCGCAACCCGGCGAGGCGCGCGCGGCGGCGGCGTCTCCGGCGCGCCCGCTCTGCGCCGTGTGACGTCACTGCTCCTCGCGCTTGCGCAGAGCGGAGCACGGCTCATTATGCGAGCCACACGAAACTACTAAATCTCGGCCAGTGTAGCTCACGCTACAAAAAAAAAATAGAACGGACGACAAGAAGAAATGTACAAACAGAGCGCCGACTCTTCATGTTTGTACACTTCGTCATCTTGTCGCCCGTTTTTTTTTTTTCTTTTTTTGCGCTGTTTTATTTTTTATTAATTATGTCCCGCTAACTCTGCGAATTTTTCGCCCTAGCACTCAATCTGCTTTGCGCGGCACTGCGCCGCTAGGATGGCTTCGATTTTGCAAGATGTCTATTGCGTCCGCGCCTCTACACTATCACACTAACATGCAGATCACATAGCCCAGACGAAAAACTGGCTAGCAATCCCTCGATTCCGAGTTCAATCTATGTCGAGAGTAATCTTGTATGCTGGTTGTAATAATGACCTTAACGAGTCTAATATTTATACAACTTTAACCTGCGTGTCACGGCCCAGTGTTACGGTCGAGCGTGATGTCTCTCATGGCCAGCCAGCGTATAAACACACTATGTGTTAAAACATTCCTCAAGCGCATTACATGGTAGAACCTTAAATTGTTCTAAACTATAAATTTAATTATCTACGCGGAGAGCAAGTCGTCTGCGCCGGATTCGCGGTGACGTCAGAATGACGCCGAGTTTCGATTGGCTTCGATTGGAAAGATAGAGGTTAAACCTCAAGGCTGGATGCATTTAGGTCTCCCCACTATTTTTGCAGTCATCCAATAAGAGCTCGGCGTTCTGACATCATCGAACCCCTGGACAAAAGGCAGATGAACTCGCGCTCCAGATTGTTGCTGACATCTTATGAAACGCAAGGCTTTTGCCTCTTTTGTTCACGCCTCTTGCTTCGTTTATTTCTTGGGGCGTCCAACGGCGCGATTTCATTGGCTGCGGATAATAAGAACGTGCTCTGTACATGCCCAACCCTGCGTTGCTTCTGCTGTCATTGGCTATATGATCCCCGTGGGCTATTTTCAGGCTCTGGATATCGGCCGCGCGACAATACTTGATCTTTTTTCTACAAGGACGTGGGCCACTACAACAACGGTATTCAGCCTTCAACTGTAAGTTCCCAGGAAACGGTTCAAATGATACTCTGGTAGATAGCCTCTTTTTCCTAAGAACTTTCTAAGTTTCATTTACGTCCATGTTCGCTCGGCTGCGGCGAAGATGAAATGTGAGAGGAGTGGTACGAAAGGCATGTGATTTCTTTTGAAAAGCTTTAGGGCGGTTGGGTCTATTAGTGACAGTATGCGTCTACTTTTATCATGGTTTGTTATTAAACAGTAACCGCGGTCAAGTGGCGGACCATCTAATGACAACGGGGTTGAATGGTCTTGAGCCTCATCAAACAAGGCATACTCCTTGTTGTCTCGGGCTTGCGTCACCCACGCCCATTTTTGTTGCATCGCAGTGTTAGAAGAAAACCATGTACGCAACCAAGCGGACTGCTAAAGCTTCCGCATTGTGGTCGTCAGCGGAACGAATGTTAGGGCATCTCATCGCGTTTCTGAAAAGACACTGCCACCCCGTTTGCTCTTAAGGCCCTTTAGTTACAGAAAGATTTCTCCGTCTTCCATCCGGATCGCAGAAGCAGTTTCCTAGCTTCGATAAACGAGTACAAAAAGCATACAAACCGAAGCCGTATTTTGCCCCCCAGATCTTCGCCCTCAGTACAAAACAAGAACACCACCGGCTCCACGGTGGAAGGACAACGGACATAGAAATACAATGTGGCCAGACTTGATTTTATATCACTTTCATCCCCCCCCCCCAAAAAAAAAACTGGAAAATCAAGATTGATGCGTTGTTTTAGCATGTCTTCCAGGCAGACGCCACCGTAAATACTGACTACCACATGCTGGAAACGGCAGCGTCTTCTCTTCCCCTTCACGGTGCCTCACGTATCATAGTTAAGGAAGCGAGCGGTTGTGACGCGTTCGAAATTCTTGATTCAGGACACTAGAGTCGCCCCAATGAATTACTCCGCGGGGTTCTTGAAATATAGAGCCCACTCCAAAGGAACGAAACGACCGCGTGCTGGAGCAACGCCAACTAAAATAACGAAAGCCTGTGCATTAGAATTCTGAGTGCATCCCCATGAAAGCGTGCAAAGACGCATATTGGATACGAGGGCTGCGTCAATGTTCTGCTGTGCCACGTATTCAGTGAACGCGTCGAAGAACGCACGGCATCAGGCTCGGGTTCAATACTTACTTCGCGCCATCCGGCTTCAGTGACGTTCCACTAAGAAAGGATTTTTCTTAGTTAGGTTTTAGACCTAACTGTGAACCAGCGCCTTAGTTCGCAGGCCTTTATTACTCCAGGTGGTGTTGACTGGAGATAGGGGTCTCTATAGTATTTTTGACTTGTCATCGTTTATATAAGTAATTATTGGCGCTTGTGCAACAGCATGTGTGTCCTGCGAGTTGACCAATTGCTTTACACCAATAGCTGCTAGTAGAACAACACTTCGGGCTTTCGCGCCGTCGACCGCGCTCGATATCGACGCGGGCACATTTTCGGCCCTCCTCCAAATCTTTGCACGGGCCGCTGAGGAAAAGATAAGAGGCTAGCGAGATACGATGCATGGTCATTCATGGTAGCAAGATAGCATGCATCGTCATAACAACAGTCCCCACCAGTCAATCTGGCAGTGCACTAGGATAAGTGCCTATGTGAGCCAGAATTACCACTAACAACAATTCTTGGGAAATACGCAGCTAACACTGGCTTAGAATTTTACGATGCGTTTTGTATCAGAAAGATAGGGGAAAGTAAGTGCGCTAATGCTTCATCAATGCACCTGACAGATACAGAGAATTATTTTATAAACGGATAGCCAGAAAGATATCAATAATGTGTCTGTGTGAATAAGCCTTCATTTCAGAGTGCGCTTCGTCTTGTCTACTTCCTTGTCCCTATTTAATCGGCGCTTATCGTTCAGCACGTGTGGCTATTCGTACCCAAGTGACGTACGAAAACACGCTAGTTTACGCAGACAGCCGAAATGCTCTATACTTAAAACACGTCCATCGATTTCAAAACGCTATAGAATTTTCGTTCGATGTTTCACTCGGTTTTACACGAAACGCCTATGCAGACTCTGTGGTGCGCGATTCCACTTTTAGCGTTCATTCAGTCCATCTGCTCCGAAATGACACCTTAGCGGCTTTCGACGTCACATTTCAGCTGTAGCGAAGTTTCACCTTACAGGTTGCGTATGTGACTACACTTTCTTTTTTTTTTTTTTTTTCATGCTCAACTCAAGAATCGTGTCCAGCATGCTCTGGTACCACCTGACCGTGTCGAGCGCCGGTGTCGGCGGCAGTCCCTACGTGAACTTCACCATCGCCGCGTCGTCCGAGTACCCGGTGAAGGCCATTAACGTCGTGCTCATCAAATGGTGCAAGAGGCGCCGAGCCATCGCCGGATCTTTCACGCTCTCCGGCCTCGTCCTGCTCGCCGTGTTTTTTGTGCCCCAAGGCGAGTTAGACCGCACTTGAAGGCGGCAAAGGTGTTGAACAGCAGCCGTCGAATATTCTTCTTTCACGAACCAACCTCGCTTAGGGCTGGTTCAAACACTTGCGCTTGCTCGCAAGAGTTCGCTGTAACCGGTGTTTTACCATTTTGTGACTAGTTGCGACCGGCTGCGGAGGGCAGCCGGTTCTAAGCAGTGTAATGGTTGCATCAGCCTTTTGTGTGAACTTGCGTCTAGTCACACGCGTCGTGCCCTAACATATGTCGACCGCTAATGTTGCTTGATGGACTTCTGAAATGGGTATATTCGCTCACTATATTGTTTAGAAATTTGAAAAGGAAAGAGTTATAGGTCGCATCACGACACCTGTGTGGCGCTGACTACAAAACACTTCCCACTTGACTGCCACTTCGCTTCTCCTCTCCTTTTTATGGCGACCTTGCAGTCAATTGTTCTGGCGCTGAAGGAGCGGACTATCACCTATACGGAGGGGGGGGGGGGGGGGGGGAGGGGGCAGGCCACTGTCTACTCATTTTATGTGGGAGCCTTATTTTTTCAGATTACGCGTGGACCAAGCTGTGCCTGATCATTGTGGGCAAAGTATGCACCTCGGTGAACGGCGCCCTCTTCAGGGTCCAGCTGAGCGAGACGTACCCTACCGTGGTGCGCTCCGTGGCCATGGGATTCTGTCTGACGGTGGGTCGGCTGGGCACAGTGCTGGCGCCCTTCTTCAACGACCTGGTACGCACCTCGTCGGGCTGGGAGATTCAGATCCACGACGCTCGGGGGCGTACTAAAAACAAAAAAACAAAACAAAAAAAAAACATGTGGAGTAAGTTGACAAAGCCATTTCGGCACTCTGATTGGTGCGTTTTTATCTACGTCACATCGCCTGGTTTACGGTAGAAGGTGAGGAGGAAGGAGGGGGTTTGACGCCCAAGCAAATCTTTGAGACAACCGCTAACCTCTGGTCGACTTCCAGGTTCGCTTACTCGATATGCGCAAGCAAATCTGGCGGTCGGCTACAGGCTAGTGCGTGATTAAGTGAGGTATGTTTATGAAAGGCTAGGGGGGCCTTCCTTTGTCTCTACCCGTAAACCAGGCGATGTGACGTCCACGAAACTGCTGCAATCAGAGTGCCCAAAGAGACCGATCTCAAAGCCAGTTTCATTATGCTACCGCCGCCGCCATGCATCGTGTGAGCTGTTGTCCTTCTGCACGAGCGATAACCCGCCTAAGGGTATGCGCAAGCACGAAATGGCACGAGCTGGCTCGTAAACTGGGCCCGCCTTTTAAAAACTTGGGCTGGTGCGTATGTTTATACAGCCTAGAACTTAGTCTGCCTCAACGGGCGACTTGTCTCCCAGCTATAGATGATCAATTTAACCAGTGCGGTACAACCGCTACAGCCTGGGGTCTTTAACGTGCACCACGCAGTAGTGATACACGACCGCACGCCGGTACGACGCTCATCCAGATCGAAACGGGCAAGTGTGGGGTTCGAACGCCCTGTCTCCTATAAACTACAGTTTTGACAGCGTAATGCAAGCGCGGAATGTGAGTGAGATCGGTCTATATCGACCGATGAACAAAACTGTCTTTTTAGATATTTGGAAAGAAACAGTTTCACAAAAAGAATATCGAAAATGCAAAAAAATAAAACGTTTAAATTATTTTTAATTTTTTTTTTTTTTAAATTTTGCCGATGCTTTACGGCAGTTGGTTTCACTTAAGCGGTTAATATATTTTCAAGAAGCAGGAAATATTATGGATCATTTTTTTTATGAATAAAACAGCGGTTTGTAATTTTTATAGCTGTTTTAGTATAAAATAGCGAACTTGCTACCTGGAGCAATCTTGCCTCCAATTTTAATTGTTTACTCGGGATCAAAAACGTTACGAAATGGTAAATTCGGCTCAAACAGATGAATAATAACACATCAGTGCTTCCTTAAATCTTGGAAGATCATTGATGTGCGCAATCCACGAGAAAGGCGGTTCCATTCAGAAGAAGCTTTGCTACGAAGGAATTGTAAAAAAAAAAGGTTTTGCATGTTGGTACGTCTGTTTTGCAGTGATGGTTAAAATGAGAAGATATGTAGACGGGATCATTGATGAGCTTGCCTTTTTCTATGGAATTGTTAAAGTATATTTTATGAAACAACCACAGACGAGAAATCATACGTCGGATGGAAAGGGGAGGCAATGAGAGACGAGATTTCATAGAAGTCGCACTAGATGTGCGATGATAGTTGGATAGTATAAAGCGTGCTGAACGGTTTTGGATGACTTCGAGTGCTGAAATTAGTATTTATGTACCAGGATCCCAGGCCGAACATGAATATTCGAGCTTAGGCGTGCTACTGTTTTGTAATGCAATAATTTTAACGATGATGGAGCTGAGGGAAAGTTACGTCATAGGTTTCCAAGCACGCGATTACCTTTGTTAATGGGATATTGGGTATGAAACTTCCATGACAGATCAGAGCTAATATGAACACCAAGGTATTTGTCAGGTGATACGTTTTCAAGAGCGTTATTTTACAATCGGTAAGTAGGGAAAACTGAAATTTTACGAGAACCTCTCTTTACATTTGTTAATATTCAGCTTCATCTGGCACGTGTCAAACCAGGTCGAAATATCGGTGAAATCAAACTGGTTTATGAGAACATCAGAGTCGTTAATAATTTAGCGATAAACAACGAAATTATCGGCAAACATGTGTATGAACGAGGTAATATGAGATGGTAAGTCATTAATATACACAAAACGTAAGAGAGGACCAAGGACAGAGCCTTAAGGCATACCGGAATTAACGGGGGTCGACCTTGAGTTTGGTTATTAACAGTAACAAATTCTGATCGATTAGTCAAAATATTCTTGCCAAGTTAAAATGTTTGGGTTGATACTGAGTAGGCTAAGCTTGTTTATTAAGACTTTATGCGACACTTTACCGAAAGCCTTAGAGAAGTCAACGAAGACGCAATTGGTCTGAGATCCAGGATCAAGAGCTGAGTGGAGGTTACGAGTGAAAATCAAAAGCAGGGAGTCACACAAACATGATTTGTGAAATAATGCTGTAAAGGGCTAAAAAAAAAGATCAGACTCTAAGAAACGTGAAATTTGTGAAAAGATTACGTGTTTTATGACTTTGCAGGGTATGCTAGTAGGAGAGTTTGGCTGGTAATTAGAAGGAAATCTCTCTCCCAATTCTCCACTTTCTAGTTTTTAGGTAGAACACCATGATCAAGCGATTGTTAAAACAATGCTAACAAAATGATTGATGAATGCATTTTAGTGTTTTTTTAAGAAACTTGGGATTGATCTGGTTAGTGACCGAAGTTGACATCAACTTGAGACCATCAATAATATTGAAAATACCAGCGGAGTCAAATACAAAAGGAAATATTGGCGAAAAATTAGTAAGAGGAAGAACAGGATGCCTGGCACATATGGCTTGACTAAAAGCATTGGCAAAGCATTCTTTCAATGAATATGCACAGTCATCACAGGAAATTGCCCCTTCTTCACCAGTTTTAAGTTTTATTAAGTATTATAGGCTTAGTTTTCGATTTTAATACGTTCCAAAATTGCCTTGGGTGGTTAATAAACAAAAATGGGGATTTTGAGTTAAACAAAATATATAAATATATATTGCAGCATTGATCGCCATTTTGAATGCCTCGGCTTCAATATGGTATGCCGTCCAACGGTCAGTGCATATAAATAGTTTAGTTGTTCTGAAAAAAATATTTTTCTTAATTCATAGCCTTTTTAGTGCAATATTAAACCACGGGGATTTCGAGTTCGATTTTACAACCCGAAGGGAAACGTACTTTGTGATCAATGTTGCAATGTTGTCCTTAAAGAGACGCCAGTTCGCCTCAACAGACCGCTCCAAAATGTCATGCAGATATAAGAATCCTTAGATATGCAAACTTCGTGGCTAATACCCTTTCCCTTACGCGTTAAAAAAGCGACAACTGAAGAAACCTTGATACGTTTTGTTGCCCGGAATCGGCCTTTCCGTTTCAGTTCTGTATCAGATAAGAAATGCACACTTTCAGCACTGAGCGCATTGGCGGGGGGGGGGGGAGGGGGGGGAGGGGGGGAGGGGAGGGGAGAGGGGGAGGGCGGAAAGGAGGAGGTTGTGACAAGTGTGGGAAAATGGACGTCCAGTGGCCTAAACAGCAATTCCATTCCTTTATAAATTTAGCGGGGAAAATGACGTCACGTGATTTGGTGTCACGTCAGCTATCAACAAATTAAGTTTATCCGCTACATCTAACGGGAAAATTGGCGTCACGTGATCTCAAAAGCAATTCAGTTTCCCCGCTAAATTTAGCGGGAAACTGACGACACATGACTTGATGTCGCGACACTTATGAGCAAATTCACTTTCTCACTTTCTCCTTGGTACAGTCCAACAGGTAGTGTGTATTGGATGGGTCACCGGTACAGTGTGGCATACTGGCCGACCGAAACGTCCTGGCAGGAAGTGGGTGTAACGTGATGCCATGAGGGTTCGTGTTTGCGCCCGTATGATGCGGGTGCTGTCGGCTTGGCTATATCGGGGTGACGGAAGGTGTAGAGTGCTTTTGAGTTCTCTGAGTTTAAGTAGTATGGTTGTTCGCTCCTTGTACATTTGTTTTCGGTGTGTGTTCGGATCATAGGGTTTCGGCCAGGGTATAGGAGGTTCCAGATTAGATTTCGCTCGGGAGAGCGCGTGTTCTATTTGATTACCTCTCAGGCCCTGGTAGGTCGGTATCGATTCGACAGTGACATATAGGTTGGGGTGCAAGTGAATGTGTTTCTGTAGTGTAAAGTGTGTGTGGGACGATAGGTCGTTGTCTCGAAAGCTGCTGCACGCTCCCTGGTTGTGTTTGAGGATGAAAATTTGATCGCATGAGTGGGTGTGTTCTTTAATGACTTCGGCAGTGGCCAGAATTTCGGCGGCCATTGGGGAGGAGACACCTACGTGGTCACGGGGCGAGAAAGAGCGGGGTCTGACTACTGCCCTTCTGCTCCCGGCTGGTGTGTTGCTCGCGTCGGTCTGTGTAGTAGCATACGTCTACGTCTGGTGGTGTACGGGCGAGCACCCGGCGAACGTGGGCCTGGCGGCGGGGTTAGTGGTTTTCGGTTGACATGTTCTGCGGGAGGGGCACGGCGGTTATGCGGCGAAGCGAGTCACAGGGTACGGGGGATTGTGGGAGGGGTGGGAGTCTGGACATAACGTACAACTGCTGAGTGAGGAGGAGGATGTGCCCCTGTTAAGATGCCTGCAGGCGTTGGTGTTGCGGAAGTTTTTGGATAGTGACGCAATCCTTCATAGAGTTAAAAAAACAGCGAAAATGACGTTAGCATTGTTGGAAGCGGGGGGGGGGGGGGGAGAAAGAGTTGATTGTATATTCGCTCTGGGTGTGAATCAAGGAACCCCAGGGCAAGTCCCGTGCATTTTCGAAGAATAATTTTGAGATTGTAAGGCGAATGCCTTACTTGTCCCGTTACGCGAAAAGGTGTCGGCGTTGTGCCCGAAAGATGGTCATATAATACGTCATCAAGTACGCGCCGCTCAAGATCAAAGCGGGCGAGCCTCATAAAAAAAAATAAATAAAAACACAGCAACGCAGATGCTTCATCGCGGTAAATGACGGGGGCCTTCAAGCCCTAAGCGGACGCACATCAGAAATAAAACACCAAAAAAGTTCAACAACGCAGATGCTTCCTCACGGAAGACGTC